CGCCATGGAGACGCTGTACCGCCTGCCCTTCGCCGTGCTCGAGTGCCCCAATATCAAGCTGAAGCGGCCGAGCTGGGTGCACATGCCCTCGGCCATGACCGTTTACGCGCTGGTGGTCGTGTCCTACTTCCTCATCACCGGAGGTGAGGCCGGTGCGGGTGGTGTGAGCGGGAGACCCCGCTTACGGAGTAGCCCTTCCCCTGCGGGGCGGGCTGCTGGTTCCTGCCCGGGTGGCGGAGCCGCCGCCGCTGCTGCTGCTGAGCCCTTGTCCGGCTCCAAATCCGTCGTAAACCACGGACCTCGGCCAACTCCGAGCGCCCCTGCGGTGTTAGGGTTGTTCTCGCTGTTCGCTGCTGGGAGTCAAACGTGATGTTTGCTTTTCTCCCCACAGGGATTATCTATGACGTGATTGTGGAACCTCCCAGCGTGGGGTCGATGACAGACGAACACGGGCATCAGAGGCCGGTGGCGTTTTTGGCATACAGGTAGGAGGGTGGGCTCTGCCCCTGCAAGCCACATGCTGCAAATGCCCAGGCACAAGTGGATAAACCCGTCTTACAGAGCTGTGCATCTGCTTCTTTTTGAGCTCTCTGTGCAAGGCAGTATCTGTTCTATGTCAGTCCTTGCTTTGCAAATATTTAACAAAGAAAAAAAAAAAAAAGACAGCGTTGGAATCAATGGAAATAGAAAAGCTCAGTTCTTCTAAAACTTTTTAAAATAAAATTCTGGTAAGAGAAAAGCTTTGAGCGTTGAGCTGGCAATACACCTCTTTCTTCCAAACCTTTGCTATTAAAGTTGAGTTCTATAGTGGATGCAGCCACATTTGATCATATTTGATAGGAGGATATGTAATGTTTGTGAGACTTTTTGGTTCTGGCCTTTTAAACTCTAGTGTAATTTGGACTTTTGTGTCTGAGGGTGGGGAACATAGTTACAAATGTGTAACAACACTGTCTTCCTTGAGCCTTTTGCTTCTGTTGCTGAAAATAAGCTAGAGACTGCTTAGTAACAAATTGGTCTGAAAAGGGTTAAATCTACTGGGTTTTATGTGTGGGGAAACAAATAATGTTTTTTGTTGTTTGATTCTATGAGGTCTGTGACATGCCCCATGTACAGATTATTAATTGGACTAGAAGTAGTATATGTATTGGACATATGGTTGGATTGTTGCAATGTAGATGGATCAGGCTACTGTTGGGAGTTGATAGGACTTTAGTACAAGTCAGTGAAAACAACATGAACGAAGACAAAATTGTTTGTTTTCAGGATATGAGACGATAGTGATAATTTTCATTTTAGCATTAGCGTCCACAGTAGTTTCATCCATGCTAATTTTTATGAGGTTGTTTCTACCTCCTCATTACAAGGATAGGAAAACGGTTCAGTGACTGTGGGAAGCCGGAGACTTGTGATCCAGGTGCTATGTTGTTTCTGCATCTCAGCTTCCCGTCTCTCCATACGAGCTCTGTAAGAAGGAGGCCCGGCTGCATGGACTGACTGAGAGCTGGGGCGCTTTCAGGCTGAGTCCCCGCAACTGATACGTGTAGGCTCAGCCAGCCGGTAGCAAAACATCCTGCAGGCAAGAGCTGCTTCTGCTGTGTGCTGGAACCGGTAGATGTGCTTCATGCGCTGGCTTTGAGTAGTGCTTTGAGTGGGATTTGCACAGAGATGAGGATTCAGGCACTGATGCCTAAACAGTGGGGTGGAAATAAGACTTGGAGAGCCAGTGGCCCAGGGGTCGTGGTTCCATGCCTCAAGTCATCTGTGAAACCAGTTGCTACTTCGGACTAGATATTTCTGAGAACTGATGAGCTCATGTGGTAGACGTTAGTACTCGCTAGTATGTATAAAAACCACTAGTGTGCTTGACTGGTCACCTTGCAGACTGTCAGTCTTGGAGCTAAACTACATATTAAAGCCTTGATGTAATTGCATAACATCAGTTTCCATACCTACTTTTTGTTAGAATCAGCCCGCAAAGTTACTCGTCCTGTGTATTTGTACAGTTAAAGCAGGTTGATAAGATGGGGTTTGAAATGTAAATAGTTTCTTCAAAACTCAGCTTTTTCTGACTCTCTCTTCTCGCCTCACCCCGCCTTTTTTTTCCTTTAGAGTAAATGGGCAATATATTATGGAAGGGCTCGCATCCAGCTTCCTGTTCACAATGGGCGGCCTAGGATTCATAATTCTGGATCGATCCAATGCACCAAATATCCCCAAGCTGAATAGGTTTCTCTTGCTCTTTATTGGGTTTGTCAGCGTGCTTTTGAGCTTCTTCATGGCCAGAGTTTTCATGAGGATGAAATTACCGTAAGTGATTTAATACTTTTTAAGCTTTTCTTCTCTTTTTGTGGCTCATGTGTGCCTATGTTAAATTGAAGAGCAGCAGGGAATACAATGAGGTATGCTAAAGATCTGCAGCTTGGTTGTAAGTTGCTTTTTTGGAACAAATTACCTTGAACGAGGTGGGATGCTTTTGGAGCCAGCTACTGTAAGATTGCGCTGTAGTTAAAAAAAGGTGACAGTTCCTGATATGTCCGAAGATGTGATTAGTGAGTCTGACTTACAATGAATTTTAAGGTAGACTGAGTATGTACTGGTCAGGTAAAAGTAATTACAGGGTCGGGCTTTGAGGAAAAAGCAAGTGTCAAAGAACTTGAAGGCAGGCAAATGCGTTCTTTATAGTGACAGTGCACATGCGGGATCATAACTAGCAGAACTGATGGCAGCAGTAATGAGTGCTCAGAAACATCCAAAGCAGTCCTAAAGTAAAGAGGATGTCTCAGGGCTTGTTGTTGCTGGAAAATTGAACGTAACATTGAAGCATACAATGTATGTGACATTTTAATACATCTGTACTCACAGATCAAAAAGTAGGAAAGATCCGGAGCTTTCAGGCTATGCAAACCCCAAATGCAGGATTTTCAAACACCCCCCCCCCCCCCTTTTTTTTTTCCACTTCTTTCATCTAGAATAGCTGAAAACTGATGTTTGGAGGTACTGGTGGTTAATTCTTGGAGTAGCTCTGTGAGGTGTTGACTTAACAATGACAGTCATTACTCCTTTCTTAAATATTTTTTTTAACCTTTGCAGTGTAGTTAAAAAATTTTTGTTTCATAACAGAGAAATGATGCGTTCCCTGGCAGCAGGTAGCTGGATAGGGACCTGTCCTATGTTTTCTTGCCTCATTGATGCTATATGTTTTCTTGTTTCATTGAACACACATGTGTCTTAACAGTTCTCTTAACTTATTTAATAAACAGGGCTTCAGAGAAATGGAAGAGAAAAAGAGAGCATAGTTGTGCTGAGTGCCAGAAAATGCTGGGGTTATACTGAGTATCTCAACACTGGTCATTTGTGTAAAGGGTACAAATAAAGAACCTTTCGTAGGGTGTAACCTGGGCTTCAAACATTCCAAACAATTACTGAGGCTGGGTTGCGAACAGGCTAATCTATTTTTCAGTGTTCGTTGAAGAAAATCAACTGAGGAGGGAGCGTATAGTTAAGCTGGCCGGTTTGTACCTTGGTCAGGATTTATTGTTTTCAATAGCCTTGATCAGCAGAGGATTTAGCAGTCTGAAGTTTTTGTTTTAGGACTGTATGTCTCTTGATTTTTGAGGAGTGCTGCTTGTGTTTGCTAACTTTTTTTCTAACTTAATTTTTTTTTCTGTAGGGGCTACTTGATGGGTTAGTGCCTCTTGTGATGTTTGAAAGTCTGAGCTGAATTTACTCCTCTTCATGAAGCGTTTAAGAAGAAGCAGCAAGAAACAAATTCCGTAGTCAGCATCAACAGGAAAAGAGACCTGGCCATGAG